GGCAAAGACCAGGCCAGAGAAGACTCTCCATCAATGCACCATCAATTACAGTGCATCCGTATCACAAGGGCATCAAATGAAATGATGCAGTTCTCTATTATGAAAGACAGTTAATTGTGACACTCGGGACATAGGATCAGGACACAGGACAGCAAGCATAGTGTGACCCAGTTTATCAACAGTGACACATAAAGACGAGTGCAGCTGAGGGGTTATAACATGGGCATCGTGGTTCTCAATGGGTACACTATTCTGATAGGTTTATAGTCTACTTCATGCTTTCCTAGTTTGTCAGAATTTCAGTAAGTCATTTCTAGTGAAATGCAATACACTACAACTACATAATTTACACAGACCTTTGTACTTTCCTATGAGAATTAACCAACATGGAAACAAATTAAATAGATGCAAAGGTACCACCTGCTTTTCATACTGCAAAAATACTCTGTTCTTTATGTGATCAATCTCAACTGCTCATTAAAATGTCATTTGTGCAAACATGTAGAGACAGTGAAGGTAGGCTATGAATATAAGAAATGTCACCTGCCTAGCTGTCCTTTGGCCTTCATCAAACTAAAATGCTTTTCCTCTTTTGGTCACGTCAACACTAGAGATGGAACAGGTATTTTATTTGGCTGTGGGGAAAGTGAAGCAGGGCAGGAGGGAAGAAAGCCAAGAAAAAGGTGTTAATGAATGGATTACTACAGCAGGCAACTGGGGCTCGGTCTCACTGCAAACCCTCCGAGGAACAGTGGGTAACAAAAATCACAGAACTGTCCCCGCTGGGGGTCAAGGGAGTCAAGAGGCTTTATCCTCAGACTCCCTTCCCTCATCAGTGTTCTGTAGGAATGAGCGGCTATGGGCCAAACATGGTGCTATCTGTATTGTTTATTATCTCAACAAAACCCTACAATTCCATGGAGTATTGGCCCTATTATACAGATTAGGAATCTGAGATGCAGAAAGATTAAGCCAGCTGAGCTAGACTCTGAGTCCAGTCTTGTCTCTTCCGCTCTATGGTGCAATGTCGTAAAAGCCACAGCTCATCCGGTCTCCAACACAGCTGACACTCCTTGTGGGCTTACAGAGCCTGAGAGATGTTTGCACGTTTCTAGCCTCTCTCCTTGCAAGAAAAAGGTAATTGAGAGAACTGGCCAGATTGTTTTAATCTTCTTGCATCCATAGAACATCTTCTATGTCATAATCCACCAGCTATGTGAAATTTTTAGAGCATCATCATCCATGGCTACTCCCACCTCAAATACCAGTTACTATAAAATTATATCAGAATTTGGATCAAAGTATGGGGGAAAATTCAAGGCAAATTTTTATCTGATGAACTCATGGCAGAGAATCAAATTTCATAGAGAGTTCCAGATTCTAGCATATTATAAAAACATTCTATAACTTTACTGTGAAGAGAGTACTTTATTAGAACAAATAAAACATGCTGAGCTCTGCCGGGACAGAGAGGTCATACTAATGTGTGAGCCAGAGACTTTTCTTGCTTTAGTAGAAAAGATAATAATCTGCAAATCACTAGCATCTGAGGTTGGCTTGATTTAAAATGCACATAGATATAGAAAAAGTTTCAGGAAATCACTGTATTTATAGCTTGCCTACATTAGTCAGTGGAAAGGCCCATGCTGCTCCCAAAAGAACACTCGGGATGGCGCTGTATCCTAGCACCTTCACTAAAGCAAGGGTGTGGTTCTCATCTGCTGTTCCGCGGGTTCCCTAGGTGGACGTCCCCCAGTTCACAGGGAGCCAGGGGAGCTGACAGGCCCCTACAACACCCCACCAAACCCCTCACTCCTGCCTCCAATCCAGCTCTGCAGCACCTGGCTCAAGAAAGTCCCAGCCTCAGAAGCCGCAGAGCAGCCCACCTGAAGGAGCCCTTGCTCTAGACCCCACACCAATAGATTTAGACGGTAGAGCCCCGTTAGCACTAAACCCCAAAGGACACGGGACCTTCGCCACAAGGATAAAAAGCAGAAGATTCTGGCCAGGCACTGATCACCCAGATCTTTCACGAAAGAACCCCAGAAATATCTGAGGAAATGACAGATAGCAAGCTTGTATACAAATTACCACAATGCAGAGAACAAGACCCCAGCCATGCACTCAGTGGGCTGTCTGGCGTTGAAGCACTTTTATCCTCTTGGTACAATTTCATAATTCTTGATCCAGAGCAAGTGTGGGCAAGGCTCCAGACACATGTGCTATCTATCTGCCTAGAACTGCTTTCCCACCCAACAATCCCACAGCAGTGCTTAGACCCTCCTGGGATGGGAAACAGCCAGGCCTGCTGGTTCCCTGAGCTCACAAAGGCCTGTGCGGCAGACACCCATCCAGCGACTCCATCAGGAATGGGAAAGATTGGGGTGCAGAGGGCACTTCACCTGGCACACTGGGCTGGAAGACTTTATTCAGATCCAAGGAGGAGGCTCTGGAATGGGTTTTCTGTGGCCGCGGTGGCGGGGTGGGAGGGTCCTCGCCCCTTTTCATGGCCTCTTCTATGGAGGTGCTAGAGTAAGATCTGCAGCAAAACAAGGGAAGGTCAGAAGGGAGACAACAAAGCTTTACTCTCTGAAGTTGGCCTTAATTGGAAAATATCCACAAAAGTCACAGTGACTGCAAAGGACTGACGAGCTCCCAAAGCAACCATGGACTCTACTGTCCCCTGGATGTCCCTATCTACGACCGTGAATCAGAATATTTTTTAACTTCTTTGCTCTTATTCTACGTCAGACCTAAATTTATCCAAAAGGAAAGGCTTTCTGTAAATTCAAACCCATTTCTACAGGAACTGTTAATAAGAACAGCATGTAAACCCTTCCACTTAGGTAGCTGCATGTTTTAATGGAAGGGCTTCATGGTATTAGCTGAATGCAGAACTTTTCTCCTGTTTACATGCAAATGTGATGACAGGTACACATGAAGTTGGGACAGAAAACTGAGAGTAAGAATCAAATGAAATTCAGGAAAGGAAAATACTCATCAACCAGGCTGAGGGGTCTATGTTGTCCTACCATGAGAAATACGGGTTTGGGGAGATTTTCAAAGCAAAAGCCTCCTCTTAACCTCCTCCCTCAACCTGTGACAAGGTAGTAACTACCTAGGCAACTTCTGAGAGTGTAACTCCAATAACAGACATAAAGAAAAATGAATAACTTGCTAAAGGTCACACGGCTAGAAAGTAACGTAGGTTTGACTCAAACTCTGCTCTCTCTCTCTGCTTCTAAATTCCATTTTTAAAATGTTCTGATACTGCGTATAAGAAATCTTTTGGTGGTAGTGGCTAGACTATTTATTAGAGACTACTTATTTTCTAAGTTAATTCAACTCAGTATATTAGTCTATTACTTAGGAATAGGTTTGTGGACAAGTTCCCAATATGATTTTCTAAGAAGGGGATGTATACGTCTGTTCTATTCAACTTCTCAGCAAAGCTCATGTCAAAGAAGAAAACGAACTCTGAGTCAGAAGTGTGTCTGAGAGACAAATTAACCTCAGAAAACTGTTCTTAGTATTTAGCTATCAGAGTGGCACTTATGAAATTAGAATCTATCCATGTCTATTAAGCAACTTCAGTTCTTGGTAATGCTCGTTTCGACACAGTGAGCTTTCATTTTCCTGAATAAGTTTCTCAAGGTCTCTTGGTGGTAGTCGAGAGTTTTGTCATGCAAGGATGCAATCTTTAATAAAGCCACCATAGAGGCATGTGATGTGCTCTGGGGTGGTCCCTGCAGCATAACTGGCAAGACAGACAAGCAAAGGCATGCAGGAACCAACAGGAAGAATGTTCGCATATTTTCAACCAGAATGAAAGGGCATAGACGTGAAAGGACAAGAAAATTTTCAAATGGGAAATCTTGATAAAAAAGAAAAAAAGGAAATTAGAGACCCTGGCTAGAAATTAAAAAACTTTCTATGTCAAACACAGCTTTAGTGAAATTTTTATTCACGAAAGACAATAATGTGTATGTATATTAATATGTACACATACACACACACACACACACACACAGAGTTAAGCACACTATCCCATACCACATAGCTCATTCCATTTTATTTCCATATATAACCTGTGTATTTATATTTTCATATGGAAAATTAACTGAATATCAAGTGATACTGCAAAACTATGATTGCACCCAATTAAAATATAAATGTGCAGGGAATTAATAAAATGATGAATATAGCAATGTTAGAATGGTAATTTTACCT